GGTGATGAGATTTTTTCTGACGTTCACTGCATACATCTATATTTCATACTTTTCTATTCTAGCGCCGCTCAATGAAATTGATCATCCAATTACTTTCAGTTTCTTTGCTATATATGATCGGATGGATTCCACATTCTGCGATGGCACTTTTTCAAATATTTGCCAATAGCCAGTTACTAGCCTATCTCCTTTCAACATATTTCGCTTTTATTCCATATTTGCAAATACTATTATTACCTTATATTTGTATTTTATTTATGCCGAACATTAAACACAAGTTATATAACGCACTCTCCTTATCGTGTTGGAGAAAAATAACTCAGCGGAATAATCAAGTGCATATTATAGTTGATAAACAGTTTCCTGCCGTTGTTGAACTACCTTTAGTTAATTAATACTAGATGTTTTTGATTCTGATTAAATATAATGCTATCATTTCGAATTATGGAAAAACATTTTTTTAGTTATTAGTTATATATAAAGGCTGAAATGAAGAACCTGTCCAACATAGGATGCTAATCAAAAGAGCATGTTGAAAGGGATCGTGTGCTCACTCTAACATACATTCGTCTCACAACGTTGTATCGATAGAAAAGTTGTCGTGTAAATTAATCAGATATTTTAAAAATATCAGAAAAATTTAATATTAAGTAAAAAATGATGTACAGTAGAAAGAGTTTGTATAAAAGAGACTAAAACAACAAAGGAAAAAAACGATTGGAGTAGAAGAATGAATCGATATTAAAGACACAACAAAAATAGAAAGAAAAAGAACGATAATACGTACAGTCGACAATAAAGAATAACAAAAATCGATAAGCAAGTATACAGAAAAAAAGGAAGCATTTATATAGACGCATGTGCATAGAGCTAGTCTATTATGCACACACATGTGTATAGGTAACGGCAATCTATAGGTAAGTAGGTATAACCATTTTATTATTTTATATGTATTTCTTCATTAATATAAACTAAATGTCTTATCGTTTGAATAATTTTATTTAACTTCGTATTATGTTCTATATTAATATAAAATTCATAATGTAATCGAGTGGATTCTTGGTTTGGTCTTAATTCATCTTTCATTGATTAAAATAAAAATTTGCATTAAACTCATGTCGCGATATTGACGGAAACTTGCATTTTAATTAGTGAAAATAAAATATGTCAAAAATATTGTCTATTTCATCATCCGAGATGTATTTTTTCTTCGTGTTTTTCACACCAGAGTCAGCATTCTTTTTATTCCCTGAGTAGTTAATACACCAATTTTTAAATTCTTCCTTAAATAGTAACTAGTTATCAAATTCCTTCATAAAGAAAAACTGTTTATCTTGATTCATATTTCTGGATGCAGAATTACGATGAACATGAATAAATCCTTAAATTTATTTAGTACTATAAATGAGATTATATTAAAACAATTGATTTGATTTGCAACATATGAAGAATGTAATAAGAATACAGAGATCATCTATATTATATTATTCAAATGAACTAGCATTTCTATATCTATTCGTTTTCTCGAATATTCTAGATTTTTTTGAAAAAAATTCATAAAAGATTTTCTTTTTTTCCTATCTTATTTAAAAATAAAAATGAGTTATGAAATCCAATTCATTTGAAAAACAAATATAAATTTCTAATATTTTCATTAATTATTTTAGATTTCAATTAAGATATATATTATTCTTTTATATAAGTATAAAAGACTGTGAATGTGAGTATCTCTTGTTTACTGGCACCCCACTCCCGCCCACCCATTTCTATTTCTGTGTAGTATAGAATAGGCCAAATTGAATGAGCAATGCTCTTTTGTTTTCATGTTTGCATCAATAACATGATCTCGTTAACCTATGAATCTTCTTCAATTGACTTTCAGATACGTATCTGTCGTTTATAACTCATATTTAAATTGGTTATTTGTGCTCGCTATGGCAACAGGTGGCAAAGATGAAAATCTTGCTCAACGTGTTCTACGCTTGACTGACATTGCAAAAGAACCTATGGATTTTCTTATGCCCATCAGCGGTTACGAAAAAATGCCCATTGTTTCACTTGAAGAAGCAGTTGAACCACTTGTATCTATACTACCAACAGTGAAAAGTTACGCATGTGCGGCCAAAAAAAAATGTAAGAAGCCGGCTGATAATTTAACGCAAGATGAATCAGCTTCGATCATGCTCTATTCAATGGGATGGGAACCATTGAATGAATGCCTTTATTGCGCTTTGAATGCTACTCTCCGATCAAAAAATCGTTCAAATCTTAAACCATGGTTTCTCTTTCTTCGTCTTTTTCTTGGAGCATTATTTCGTCTTCCACCGATTCCTCACCTAACAGTGTTTCGAGGCGTTAAATTGGATTTAAGCGAACAATTTAAAAAAGGCGAAACATTCATATGGTGGGGCTTTTCTTCCTGTACAACTTGCATCGAAGTTCTTCAATCAGAAAACTTTTTAGGCATGAAACGTACAAGAACAATGTTTGCTATTGATTGCAATTCAGCTAGAGATATTCGGAAACACTCGTATTTTCCAGCTGAAGACGAAGTACTATTGCTTGCTGCTACTGAGTTCCAAGTGAAAGGTACTCTCAATCAAGGTCACGGTCTTCGAATTATTTACCTGCATGAAGTTCAGTCAGATGAACCAATGCTCATGCCAGTGTCTTCTACAAATGACTCTATTGATTTATCTGCCGAAAAACTGAAAAATTTGAAAGTAACAGATGATGTCACTGAATCAAAAATCATATCAAAGCAAGCAGCCACAACAACATCTCTGTCCAGTTCAAACCCGAAAGTTGGTGCATCTGAAAAAATTGTTTCACAGTGGGGTATGTTAACAAATAGAATACGGCTGTGAGTGTTGAGTAAAGATCAACTAAGGGGTTAAGACTCATCCTTTCAGAATTTAGAATTATAGTACAATACTTTTTTTTTGTTAGTATCATGAATTATAGTGCTCTTTCAATTAAACACATGTGTAGAAACTCGAAAACTAAATTAAGATAGCTGATCTTAGTGAGTTCATAAAACGATATCTTGACATTAAACGAGCTGATTCAGGCTAAAATACCTATTTATTATACGTTAACTTCTTTTCAAAGCAAAACATAATTGAAAATGACTTCTATATATAAACACCATCAGAACGTTATTTTTTCTAGACAGATAAAAAGGATTTTGATGATCTTTATAGAGTTCATCTTGAGGGTGGGGGAATGGATGTGGGTGTGGATATTCTTCTCATCCATTACCCACACCCACACCCATCTTTTTAACAAATCATACTAACAGGATGGATGAATTTTTCATAATTGTTTCTTATAGTGACAATCATAAATTGTGATGATCTTAATCAAAAAAGAAAATGATCTCAACAATCTCTAAATGAGATTGAACAATGTTTTCTCTGTTAATTTCTATTGAATAAATTATTTTAATTGAAAGAAACTGAAGGATGACAAGAGAAAAGAAGTAAAATAAGATTTGTAATAAAAAAGAAAAGAAGAAAATTTCAAATTGAAAGAAATAAAATGAAAATATTTTTATTAAATCAAAAAATAAATCAATAATCTTTTCTAATTTCTTTTCTTTTCAAATTAAATCTTTGTCAATTTGTTTGAAAAATAAATTATTTTTCAATAAAAAATTATTTTCATAAAATCTTTTATTTTCACTCTTTTTTAGAATCAAAATTCAATAAATGGAAACAAAATGCTATCACTGTGGCTGGTGGAAATGGACTAGGACAAAAACTAAATCAGCTTAACTTCCCTGCTGGAATCTTTATTGATAAAAACAAAAATATTTTCATCGCTGATTTTTATAATCATCGTATTGTTCAATGGAAATATAATGCAACGGTGGGACA